ACGTGGGGTCCCGGGTGCCCAGGAGCGCGTCGGAGCCGGCTGGCTGGCTCCCACCACAGGCACCTCGGGTTGCTGCTCACCAAAAAGAAAAAAAAAAAAAGCAAAAAAAAGTATCACTTGAAGAAAAAGAAAAAAATCCGCAAGTGATGGTGTGAACAGCCTCGCGGAGAGCCTTAGGCGCAGCTGCCCCCTGCTGGGGACGCGGGGTGTCGCCGCTTTCGCAGAGCAGGGTCCAGCCCTGCACACTTTTTTCCCCGTACTACCGAGATTGTTCAATTGTAACAGACAGGGGACAATCAGGAAAAAGAAAAAAACAGGGGGGTGGGGGTGGGGCAAGGAGATTGCTGGGCAGGGCTATTTTATTTTCTGTTTTTAAAAATTAAGACCAAAAGTTTAAGGTCTTGGAGAAGTCCTGTGAAAGACTGGGCCAGGAGACGAATTCTCAGGGCCTTTTGAGAACGAAGGAGAAGGCGTTGAGAGGAGACCGCAGTGCAAACCACAAGTGTCCAGGGAAGTGGACTTCCCAGGACGGATAGTGAGAACTTTCTAGATAAGACTGTCCCCTCCGTCCCCGAGAGTAACCACCAGCTCCCGTGTGGCTGCTGAGTACCAGACAGAGGGCCTGTGCTGCAGAAGAAAGGAAGCCTTGCTTTAATTTTTGTTAACCTTAATTTACATTTATTTTATTATTATTATTTTGTTGTTGTTTTTTCCAGTACCGGGAATCGAACTCACAATCTTGTGCTTGCCAGGCAGGCGCTGTGCCTCTGAGTTAAGTCCCCAGCCCATTAATTCACGTTTAAATAGCCGCATATGGCTCATGTGCTGGACAGCAGGGCTCTGGACTTACCCTTCATAGCAACAGAGCACTTAAAACACCAGCAGAGGCCTCAAGCCTGTTGAGAGAGGCTCTCAATAATAACTTGTCAATTAATAAAATCTCTATAATCTGAAGCCACTGTGAGCTGGACGTGGTGGTGCACGGCTGTCATCCCGGCTACTCAGGAGGCTGAAGCAGGAGGACTGCAAATTTGAACCCTGCCTGGGTAACTTAGTGAGATCCTGTCTCAAAATAAAACTTGTTAGAAAGTGAGCCGAGGATGTTCTCAGTGGTAGAACCCTGGCCTAGCAAGCACCAGGCTCTGACCTCAAATCCCCAGCATTGCCTAAAAAGACCAAACCAAACCACACCAAAGCAAAACAACAACAAAAAAAGTGACTGTGCTCTGCCTCCACAGCGGTAGAAATTTAAACCCATCTCAGAGACATTCAGGAGCTGTGAGAAGCACAGCGCAGTCTGGAAAGAGCTAAGAGTCTGGAGCTATTTCCTGTGTGGACGGAGGCTCGCTTGGGTCTGCAGCATCAGCCCTCCAGTGTGGCTTTGGCCGGCAGAAAGGTATTTCTGACTGCTTCCCAGTGCTGTCCTGGTAGCATCCTGATCCAGTAGATCCAGTCTCTGCCTGGTCAGAAGAGGCCCTTTGCATTTGGGACTTCACAGCAGCTTTTCCCGTTGCTCCAGTTGTCTCCTAGTGCTGGAGATTTGGCATTTTTGCTTCTAATTATAAACTGCCGGGTGATGTCATGAAATCCCCCAACACCCGGAGGGGCTGTGCTGAATAGTGCAAGACAGTACGCTAACAACTTATCTGGAGGTGCCAGGAAGAAATGATGAGAAACGGCTCACTGGAGGGAAATGTTTTCCAGCTTGCTTTCTGGTTTTAGCAACTGCGTTGGAAGAGATAAGCCGCACGCGGCTCTTAGGAGGAGGCCTGGGGTCTCCAGGCGACATGAGGCAGGAGGAAAGAATTGGGCCGAGAACACGCAGTCATCACACATTCACCGAGCAAGAGATTACAGCGCAGCCATGGAGGCTCCGACAGGGAACTTGGGGGCAGAGATTCCGTGGGCTCTGGGACAACTTGACTTCAACTAGATGGTATTTGAATAATCTGCTAGAGAGGACAGATATAGCATACGCTGTCACATTCAGCGCTGAAACCCTCAGTTTCACTCTGAGTAATGCTTGGCCATCCCAGAGGTCAGGCTTACACTCACTCAAAAACAAGTGGGGAATTGAAGCAGTTACTCAGATAATCCAGGGACGCAGCTACTGGCCGGCGCTGCATTCCCGACTGAGCCCAGACTGGCAGTGCTGTTACACGTGTGACTGACCTGGGGAGCTTTAGGGAAAGCAGATTACAGAAAAACCCAGAGTATCAATGGGGTGCATTCGGGCTGAGTCATACAGACAAAATGGGAAACCGAGGGCCTCTCACCCTTGAAAGGAGCATCCTGCCTTCAGCCGAAATGGAACCGACAACTTGGTTTAAAGTCGCAGACGGTTCAGGTCCCTGTGTCGCCTTTTAACGTGCTGGATTGTATCTGAGCCAAAAGATAGAAGATGGTGAAATAGAGACCCAAGGGGAGTATTAAGAATCTAGATTGACTCTGGAGATACTGTCAATAAAGTATTGCAGTAGTGTTTACAGATGATTAGTGCCTTCCCATGGACTCTTCAATGGGGAAAATGTATTTTCTTTTTCCTCTTCTCCTTCACCACCACCTCCTCCTCCTCCTCTTCCTTCTCCTCCTCCTCCTTCTCCCTCTCTCTTTCCCTCTCTGTCCTTCAAAGTAGCTTTGAACAGTTTATCTGGGAATTTGGGAAAACCCAAATTCAAGCAGCTTTTTCTTTTTCCTATCCAGCGCAAAATCCAGAGGTAGGCGGCGGCCAATGTTGGTGTGGTGTGGGTTGAAGGCCAGACTTTGTGGCCTTTTACTTTGAGTCACAGTGCATTTAGGTACTTCGAAGGGAGAAGGGAAAAAAGCAACCACCTGAGTCGTGTAATTCTAAACACTACCTCACCTCCACCTTCCACCTTCAAGGAAGTCTTTTCAAAGTGCCACCCACTGGCTTCTGGCATGTCATTGGACAGAGCTCTATTTAAATATCTACTCTTAGTTGCAGAGGAGGCTGGGAAATGTAGTTTTTTTCTTTTCCAGTACTGGGAATCGAACTCACGACCTTGCGCTTGCCAGACAGCTGCTGAGCTAAATCCCCAGCCCCAAGGGAAATGTAGTTTTTGAGAGCTCTTCCACACAAAAACTGATACTCTGTTCCTAACAGAGAAGGAAGACTAGATACCAGTAGTCATCATTAGAGGACCACTTTAAGGTCCATTGAATGTTTAAAAAAAATTATCACGGTAAAAGACATATTGCCATTAATCTTGAAAATACACCTCCTCTCTCTGAGCACATTCATCCCCCATTTCTGCCACTTTCTGAAGCAGTCCCGGAGGTCCTCTTTTGCAAGTGTCTCAGTTGCATTGTCATGGCCACTTCAACACATTACTCTTCCCTGGTCATTTTAACTTTGGGGAAGAGCCTGACACCGTAGGGGCCAGATCCAGTGAATATGGTGACACACCTCAATATTATTGACAGACATTGCATCAGCATTTGATCAGTGAAGGGCATTCAAAAATATGGTGAATGTTTAAAAGTACTTATTACAGTGAAAGCCCCATTGCCATTAATTCAAGATACTCCCCCTGGATTCCAACACACTTATCCTATCATTCTTAGAAATGTGCGTGTTATGGCTTGTGTCTAGATGCCCTCCCAAGTGCACTTGTAGGGAGGGCTCTTTGGAGTGGCTGGATCTAGTGTGTGTGATACTGGGACCAAGGGTGTGTGGTGCTAAATTCGTTCACTTATTGGAACTGGCACAGTTCTGGGTGGTAGCCAGGCTGAGATAAAAGGGAAAGGCAGGCTGGCTACTGACTCCTCACTGCCTCTGCCTGCCCTGCCACGGACTGTTTCTGCTCTACAAGGCCCCTCTGCCATGCTGTCCTGCCTTGGAGCCAGCCAACTATGGCTTGAAACCT